GGCTGGGGGAGGGGCGGGGAGCGGGTTTGTTGCCGTCTCACGCTGTAAAATGGAAGGGGACTTAGCTCGGCTCGCTTCGCATCCCGCGTTTTTCTTCCTCCTTCCCCTTTTTAACGAAAGGAGCGGGTGGAAGGAGTTGTTTTTTTGTCGAGGGGTGGGCTGGTTCAAACTTTCTAGGGATTGCGTGAGCGATCGCCACCGGTGTCGGTGTGAATGCGAACGCGTTTTGCGTAACGCATGTAAAAAAATAGCCCTACCTTTGGAAGCTGGTCGGGGTAGGGTAAGAATTTTGGAGGGAGTAAGGGAAAGCCAGCATGATTGAGACCTTGTGCAGTGTGTTTAAACCAGCAAGAACGCTTTTTGGTGTACTACTTCGCAGCATTGTCAGAAACCAGCTTATCTCTTGTGAGTGATTTCTGGAGGAGTCAGCGTAGTTCTCTTGTGTTTTGGTAGTGGCATCCTTGTGTACAAAAGAGTAATTTGTTTCCTGTCGTAGTTGGTCTGTTTATGAATATACGCTCTTGACTTGAAAATCACCTGCCTGTTTCTCAAGTGGGTCTTTGTTATTCAAGCTACCCCATGTATTTAATTGGAACTCCCTTTGTTATCTCTGGGCCCTGACCAGAGGGTCAGATCCCTCAGGTTGAACAGGGAGCTGAAACCATGGTAGTGTAATAGATTTTGGCTGTAAGGGACGGAGTAAAACTTGCACAAGTTTTCTACAAGCTAGAGCTGGATCAACCTTTTGCAGAACCAGGCCTTTTAGCTGTGTGCAAATTTTTTTTTTTACTTTTTTAGTATTCTGCCCTGAAAAGTGGGAGATAGCCTTTCCCTTTCTCGTATAGGAGGCAATAAGTTTCAACCCCAAATCTGTGTGAAATGAAACTTTTAAGAAAAGCAGTTATTTAGAGGTATTGACTTAGGTGGAAAATCTAGTGCTCTGCTAAACCAAGAGCTGTCCAATGCAGAGTTCAGGGTGCTGACATTATTTTGTTAAGAGCTGAAACATGCTTTGATTTAGCTGCACTAATACACTCAGGAGGAAAAAAGAAACTACATGTTAGGAGTGTAATCATCCAGTTTGTGTGGCGTTTGAAGGCAAAGCCAAATACTAGGAAACTAGCCTTAATTTAAAAGGTTCTATATTGTGTTATTTAAGTATATGTAGGTATCAATCATTCCAATTACAAAATAAAGAACTGTAAATTACAAAGTGTAATATCTCCTGTTGTGGTAAGAGGTGAATTTAGCATGTGGCAATATCTGTGTGTGTACCACAGTCCCATTCCAATGGCACAAAGCAGCTAAAGCTGCCTCCAGACACATTCCTGTCATCCTCCAAGCATTGAATTTCTCTTGATCATTTTGTAAGTGTCATCAGTGCTGACAAGGGTATGCTATGGAAAACCACTGTCAGTCTGTACAGATTATAGCAGTCGTGCTTGGTCTGTAAGGTGGTGTGATGGGAAGGAATCCATTGAGTTACCTTTCTTTCACCTGTTATTGAAAGGCTTAGTAAACTTTGTAAGGCCTTTTCTGTAAGGCTGTATTCTAATGGCTGCAAGAAGCACACAAACTTTATTTGGACCCTGTGTATCATGCTGCACTTGTCAGTTGAGAGTACACAGCTCGGTCTTCGGGAAAAAAAATAAGAGTTTAGCCAACAAAGGATATGGTTTCATCCAGTTTCAGGATAAAAACATAGCACCTACAGTTTCTTTTTCCTTGTGTTGCCTTTTTAATGTAAATGGATGCTAGTTTTAGCAAATCAAAATTACACATAAACACCAAAAGCCAGTTTATTTAAACATAGCCTAGTTTCTGAAGTGCTGCTAGCTTCTAGTGCCAAATGTAGGTTGCCTCTAAACAGAGTAATGACAACTTAAACTGCTTTAGTCTATAGTTAGATAAAAAGGCTTGAATGCTTTTAAAAGCTTAGTTTGTTACCTTGGAAACTCTGAAAATAGAAAATACAGCCATATTATTAATGTTTTCATTTGAAAAGTGTCTTATTGGCTGGTCTAAGTTTTGTTTGTTAGTTTCACTAGTATATAGTTCTTTGAGATGCTTCAGAGAATATTTTGGGTGGGAACGTAGGCAGGGAAGTACTGTATTGGTCTGTCATGAAAGTAAAGACTAATAGTGGAGATATTCCTGTAGTACTGATGAAGATAGAACTAGATTCAGTAACCAAGCAGGAAGAAGTGCACAACGTAGTAGTTAAGGCAGGTTCAAAGTCCCATCTGTTGTATGTGGCTGTTCTTGGAGGTCATAGATACCTGGTTTAAATTCTGCACATTGTTCTTCGGACTGACTTTTTTACAGCCATTTGTCCAAGTCCTGAAAGAGCTCAAGTATTTTGTTTTTGATGCCTTATTCTATCCTGAATGCTTTCAAAGTAGTAGGAATGATCCTAGGTTCTTTCAAAACACTGAGTTGGCAGTACTTGACAATCAATATTGCTTTGTTGTAAACAACAGAATACTGTTGAAAGAATGTAAGTTACTGGCGAGGAATATGTTGGGCAATTTTTACTCGTTTTTATTGCCTGTAATAAACTTTGGGGTGCATTGTGTCATTCCCTCAAAAAGCGGGGGGGGCACCATCCTTGTGTACTCCTGTAGTATTGCTGGCTTTTGACAAGATAGAAAAGTCGAACTTCCAGCAGTTGGTCCTGTTTCTGACAATGCTGCTGAGACGCATGCCACTGTGAGCATCTTGCTGCGTGTGCTTTTCTCTAGGATTTCTGGAATCTAAATAGCTCTTATCCCTTTGAAATTTCAGGAAGATGTTTGTTGGTGGCCTCAGTTGGGATACAAGCAAAAAAGACTTGAAAGATTACTTCACCAAATTTGGTGAGGTAACCGACTGTACGATAAAGATGGACCCTAACACAGGAAGATCCAGAGGCTTTGGATTTATTCTCTTCAAAGAACCTGGGAGTGTTGAAAAGGTGAATTTAAGATTCATATTTCAAATTCTTAACTTCTAGGGGAAAACTTTTCAGCTTGAGTTAATCCTATCAAACTATCTTTCAGGTTCTGGAACAGAAAGAACACAGGCTAGACGGACGACTAATTGACCCTAAGAAGGCCATGGCAATGAAAAAGGATCCAGTGAAGAAAATATTTGTTGGTGGACTAAACCCAGAAGCCACAGAAGAGAAAATCAGGGAATACTTTGGAGAGTTTGGAGAGGTATGTAATGTTAGTAAACTTACTATAGCTTCCAGTTGCTGTTTAGTTTATAATGTGCAAGTTGCAGAGTATATTAACTGCAGATGTATCAAGTCTCCTGTAAGTGATCCAGAGGTTTCCCATCTTGAGAGCAAGGAAGGCACATACTGCACTAAATGCTTCCATTGCTAGTTAGATACCCTTGTCTTTAACTCAAACCATTTTTCCTGATGTTAAAATTTGTTTTTAAGAGTTGTAAAATTGAAACCTCTGGTCTGAAAGCCAATGATAGTGTAGAAAGGATATTGCAACTTTGGTGTTGTGTAATATGCGCAGATAAGAAGTGTACTTTCTGTTTTACTATGCCAAATGCCATGTGCTTAACTGTTCTGCTAAAATACAAGTCTGAAAAATATTTCATGTCTTCAGATTGAAGCAATTGAACTTCCAATGGATCCAAAGACCAACAAAAGGAGGGGGTTTGTCTTCATCACTTTCAAGGAAGAGGATCCAGTGAAGAAGGTTTTGGAGAAGAAATTCCATAACGTCAGTGGAAGCAAGGTAGAAACTTTCACTTGTAAATTTTTGTCCAAGTTTTTAAGCGTAATACCACTACATCTGTAATCTGAAAAGGATTACGTAGACCTCTGATTTTAAGATACCCAAATTACAATAAGAAGAGCTTGCAGTTAACCGTTGGGGTGTTTTTTCTTAAGTTCAGTCACAGAGGCTACCAAGGTTCTTTGCCAATACTTTTGCTTTAATACTTGGTCTGTTCTAGGGGCTTTTGTATGTAAAGTATCTAATTCCATTCATTAAATACATGTGAAAATGGCTTATTTATGTATCTGTCTAGCAATACAAGCCATTTCAACAGATACATACTTATTTTCAGCACAGAGCACTTGCATAAATTGAAGGCTTACAGACACTACCTTTGTAAGCAGCTGGTTGAAACTGGTTCTGTCTAACATGAGGACAGGTTCTGGTGTCTTCTCTCAAAGCCCCCCCTGCTACCAAAGCCTTCTTGCGTAAACCCAGTACAAGGATCCACAGAGTAAATGTGCGCTTATGGCAATTTGTACCTGGTCAGCTGGTTGTGTGAACCACTGTAAAAGTGGTGTGAGATGCTCTGAATAGCTGACAGTGCTCATCTGTGGGAACAGCCAATAGAGGCTCATGTGTTAAGCTAATGAGAAGAGGACTGGAGGCAAATGATGTGTGCTGGCTGGAGGTTGTCCCTCTTCCCTTGCTTCATGGCCAGTGCTGACCATATGCTAACTTCAAAACCCGGTTAGATGTGGTCATACTGTCTGACACAGCAACTTAGATTGCACTTTAAGACTGGTGTTGACAGCACAGAATAAACTTTGGCAAACCTAATGCACTGGAGGTTTCAAGACACTGTAGTTATAGTCTGTTTTCAGGAGAGGTGAGCATTCATGTGCAGAGGGAGCTGAGAAATTGTATCTGTGTATCTCATAACTATGGCTTGGTTTTTTGTCATAGTGATAATAAAAAGAGCAGGTTACCTTAAAGCTCCTGTTTGAAGAATTCCAAGCCAGGCTTGCTCAGGTGCTGCTGTCACAGGGAGTTGTTCCTTTCACAGCAGCAGTAGCTTTCATCTCAGACTGTGCACAGATTCAGGAACTAGGAAGCTGGCTGACAGCTTGAACTGCAGCTTGGGAACCTGTCTTGGAAATGTCAATTCTGGTTGTTTTTAGCTGTCCTTAGTATTTGATAAAAGTGATGATTTCAAGTGTTGGTAAGTGTATTGTACAGTCCAACACAGATGCTGAGTGCATAGGGTGTATGAAGGCTGCCAGGAGAACTTGCTCTGGTGATGTCTCAGAGCCCAGTTCATTCAGTGCAGCTCAGGTGAAGTGGTCCACTAGCAACAGCCTTGTCTTAGAGGTTGTGCCAGGATAGAGGGCAGCCTCGGGCTCCTACAGGAGCGGTGGCTACACTGAGGTGGCCTCAGCACCTTTTCCATGGGGGGGTTGACAGTAAGCAATAGGCAGCATTAAAATACTCCAAAAGCAGTGGCCTGCTTTGTATGCCCAATAATGACTAACCTTTCTCTTCCACGGGGAAGCTGATGATAGGGATTGGCAGTATAAAATACTCTGAAAGCAGTGGCCTGCTTTGGATGGCCAGCAGTGACTTACCTTTGCCCAGGTGGCATGATAAATCAGATGCTTCTGGATATGCATTAGTCCTGGTCACACAGTCGAGGACAGTGTGCATACCTCCTTTGCCTCTAGAGTAACCTCTGGCTTTCCTAGGTGGTTAGGTTGGGTGCTGCTGCTAGAAGACAGTATACACACTCTTCCTTGTTTTTTATTTTCAGTGCGAGATTAAGGTAGCACAGCCAAAAGAAGTATACCAGCAGCAACAGTTCAGTAGTGGCGGAGGAAGAGGTAGCTATGGAGGAAGAGGCAGAGGTGGAAGAGGCGGCGGTAAGTACTGCACACACTACTTTAGTATGGACACATTCTAAATAAGTTGTGTGTACTAAAATGGGATTTTGTGGATGGTTTTCCCTTCTATAGCTCAAAGTCAAAATTGGAATCAAGGTTATGGCAATTACTGGAACCAGGGTTATGGGAATCAAGGATACGGCTATCAGCAAGGTTATGGTGGCTATGGAGGCTATGATTATTCAGGATATGGGTATTATGGATATGGACCAGGCTATGATTACAGTAAGTAAAGAGAACTGTATTGGGTATAAGCAAGCGTAACTAATTAGCAGTTTAATGCATTTGTTCTCTTGTTCATAGGTCAAGGCAGTGCAAATTATGGGAAGACACCAAGACGTGGTGGTCATCAGAATAACTACAAGCCATATTGATCAAACTTATTCAGGTATGCAGTGGCATGGTCTCTTTTGGAAAATGACTGCATAGGTTTTGTATACAATGCTGTAGATGGCTATTTCAGTTCTGTACCAAATTTAACTTTACAATAAATTTCTATGGCCTGTTAAATGTGCATCTTACTTGGAAGAGCTCCCTGAAAATGTTTTACATGTTTAATACTTACAGATAACTAGTTGTCTAGACAGTGTGGTGTGTAAATTTCAGCCTTGCTGAAGATATTAATTAATGATTTTATTAATAGGTTAAACTGAAACTGATTTTGAGGGTCTGCTTAAAGCTGCAGCTCTGCATCTAGGGACTGCCTCTTGGAGTTAACTATGGACTCTGCATTACTCCAGTTGTACAGAATGAGATGCATCTTAGGGAACCAGTGTCACTTTCCACCTTTTTATTTTGTATTGTTTTTGTGTCATACATTTCCTGTAATGGAAGTGTTAATTTTACTGTACTTTTTGGTACCTTTTTGGAATCTAATGTATTGTAAGGTATTTTACATGTGTTCTGATTCACCATGACATGGATATTGAAGCTATCCTAGCTTTTGAAATAAAAAAGGCGTAATCTAGTGTCTTGTGCCATTCTTCAGCTTATGTATTAGTAAAATGTCAGTATACTGTTCCCAGAACTTAGTTCATGGCAGTACCTCGATAGATGAAGAGTTGTGCTTAAATGTTTTTAAATCTTAAAACTAGAAGGCTGTATTGGTAGTTGTGCTCACTTGCAGTTAAGTGGCAGCTGAAAACTGCAGTCACTTCTGCCTGGAGGTTATGGAAGAGAGCTTGGGCAGAAAGCCCCAGCTGTTGTTGAGGTTATGCTGGTGGCTCTTGGTCTAGACAAGCACAGAGGCTCAGCATAACTATGTTAGTGTCTGCATTGTAGGGCTCTGCTTAGGAGAGGCCAGAGGCACAGGTTTCAGGTAGGGCTTGGGAGTCCAGACAGTATGGCAGGAGGAAGCTGAGGTGTGCAACAAGCTAGCTGTACTTCTTTCATGTTCCACTGTCTTGAGACTTTTCTACAAGTTCTTAATACTGTGTATACCTGCCTTGAAAGACAGGTTAGACATTAAATTACCAATGTAAAGTCTGAATTTTTGCAGCCTTTTTGTGATTAGAAAAGGCTAAAGAACTTCCACTAAAGTTGTGGGAGGGGAAAAAAACAAACCTGCCTCTAAAGAGGCAGCTCCTTCTGTAGAGATGAGTGACCAGCTAGAAATATGCTCTCCTTGTTTTGAATAGTTTACTGCTATTTTAAGGCAATAATTATCATGTAATTTGCCTGTCTTGCTGCAGAATAGTCTCAGTCTCAGATTTATAAGTAGCAAGTGCTGCTGCATAAAGTGAACTTCTAATCTTTGCAGTAATCAATTTTGATTTTTGCTTTCCTTTTAAAGCCAACATATGACAATTTTTTTTTGTAAAAAAATTCTATTTGAACAAATGGGAACCAGAAGTGGAATCAAACCAAGTAGCTAAGACAAACAGATGTTACTAGTGACCTTTTTGTTGTTTTTTTTTAATAAGGGATGTGGCTATTCCTACAGGGACTATAATATGCTGCTCCCTGCTGGCTGTCCTTGAAAAGAAAAACTTGCTGTAAAGTTAAAGTCTGTAAGACTTCTGGAGTTAAATGGAAATCTTGAGTTTAAAAAAAAAAATCAGATTTAAAATCTGATAGTTGACATAACGTCACAGCTGGAGTATGTTACTGAATGCTGGACTTGCAAATAAATGCAGGCCACTGAAACAAATGAGTACAGTATTTAAAAGTATTACTGTCTCAAGATTTAAAATTGAAATGCTTTATTGCATGCTTTTACTTGTTTTCTTCTGAAATAAGGGGTAGCAGAATATTTTTCTAGCAGTTTGCCTTCCAACAGGGAATTTGCGTAGTATCAGGACCATACTGCTGCAGTGCTTTTGGCTAGTGTGTTAGCAGTAGTTTGTCAGCTGGCTGTTACTTTGGTGTTTTTTGGAAGTAGGTTCTTAGGTAATGCTTCTCTGACAGGTGGTATGGCCTTAAGCAGAAATTGAGGATACTGGTACTTAAATGCAGAGCTGGCTTTCCTTTTCTTCTTTGCATGAAAAGTCTGTGATACAAAGAATGTGTAATTGCCTGGTGAAAGCAAGGGCTTGTACGTGAGGTTGTTGCTTATGGCTATAATGTACTCTTACTAATCCTACTTGGATATTTCTTGAGGACAGAATATTTTCTAAGAACTGGTTTGGGAGCCATGGCCCTCAGCTGTCTGTTCCTCATGCATATGATGTTATGAATTTGGGACTGAAGTTTTTGACTTAATCTGGTCACTGTGACTGTTTGAATATAGTGCTGCTAGGGACCTTGCTATGAAACTGGTCAGAGGAGCCTGGGAAGGACTGGGTGTGCTGGCAGCTAGAATGGTGTTTGCATAGGGAGCAGTACATAAAAAAAAGATTCCATTGGCTTATCTTAACTTTCAAAAAGTCATAACCTGAAAGAGCATGAATTTAGAAAATGTAGTTTATAGTAGCTACTATAAATATATTCCTTTATAATCAGATTTAGATATGCTGTTTTAAACAAAAGCCAATTCCACACTTCTGCCAGAGTTGAAACAAGCTCTTGTAAAATTTATTTCTCCTAAAGCTTTTTACTAGTAATGATAACTGAAAATAACAAAATCAAAGGTAAATTATCTGGTTTAATACATGCTAGGATGAAGATTAAATGTGCATTATTATAGTAGAATAATGTTTCTTAGTAGTAGATCTTGAACATTGTTTGAAACCTATGGAAAGAAAATAATGTTTTTTTTGTAAAAGCATCATTCAAAGGAATCTACTTTGTTGCCTCATTTTCGCTTACATTATATGTAAGTGTCATACTAGTACTGTACTTAGTAAGAGGCTTTTTGCATTCTTGGTTTCCTGTAGAAAATAAAGGCATTTTTCTTGCTCAGTTTAGATTGCAGACAAGCACATTAAGTCATTAGGTCTCTTAAGTTAAACTGGCACTGTTGAGTAATCTTTCTGTTCTCAAGAATAACTAGTTCAAACAGCTGTATGTCTTTCCATTAACTTGCTAAATAAAATATTAACACATTTTTCTTGTGCCTGCTATACTAATATTGCACTGAACTAAAAAGTATGTTTCTCCTTAGCTCAGGGCCATAGCACTGTGAATCTAGGATGGTGGTTGAGGCCACCAATAATTACATTGATTACAAGCATTACCTTAGGTGCATTACTATCCAGGTACCTAGAGTTTTACTGGGCATTTGGTTAAAAACTGCTTGGTTGTCTTTTAGTCAGAGTAGGTTGAAGAAGTATTGACTGTACCAAAGGGTGTTGTTATTGAGGTGTTAACTGTAAGTGTACACTGTGCTCATAAGCGTATGGCAAAATGAGTTGCAGCTAGATGTAAGCAAGACCTCAACAGATACTAAGGTTTGCAAGTCTTGGAAGACTAACAGGACTTGGTCTTACTGATGCCCACAAACTTCTGCTTATAGGGGTAAATTGATGCTTGAGCATGAGATAACAGCCATGAACCTGAAATGATCCTATGAAGTAGTTGAAAATACTCAACAGATGGCAATACTAGTTCAACAAGAGCTATAGTATGAGTACTGCTTATAGTTCTTCATAAAGCTGTTAGTATAGGTTCTTAAAAGTGTGGCATGCAGAACGTACAGTGCTCCTGTCCTTAAGGGCAGTTAAGGAGAGACTTGCTGAGTAGTTATGCAGCTGGAACAACTTCTGTCTGGAGACAAGACACTGAGAGCTAGCATAAAAGCTATGTTTTTGTCTTGATGTGCCTGTCATCTGCATGCCAAGGATTAAACCCAGTCACTCTTAAAGCTTCCCAGACAAGCATAGCATTCTGTAGTGGTAGGCATTTCTGAGGCATGTTGGATCTCCCTTGCAAACCAATGAATACATACAGTGTTACTGCAAGTATCGGGCTCTGATAAAAGGTAGCTATGGATGCCAGATGTACACAAATCTGGTCCATGCTTCTGGAGCGCCAGGAATTCCTGCAACCTATTTTCAAGTAAAAGCAGGAGGAAACTTGGTCCTGCTCTCCTGCCAGGTGACAATGCTTGTGAAGTTATGTTTAGAAACCTTGGCTTTTAAATAGAGAAGGGTGAATAGAAGTTCAAATACCTACCTGCTCAGGTAGAACAAGTGGATGTTTTCTGTTGGTTCAGACATTCTTTTTCCATCTCTAGAGAGAGTGTAAGTAACAATTTAGCAAACTCATGACTTAGTACAAAAACTTGTCTCAAACTTGGTTACCACTGACTCTGCAGAAGTTGTATAAAAAAGCTGAAGTGGCAAATGCACAGAGATTATGGCTGTCAAGAAATGGAATTTGGACAGCTTTTACCAGCTCTCCTTTGTTCAGATAGTTAAACACTTCAACCTCTGCCAAAGCAAAGCTATTTCAAAAGGCATATGCATCTATGGAGTAAATAATTTTGTTAGAGAACTTTAAAACAGAATCATTTAGAAGTGAAGGTTAAACTTGCATTGACAGACTAATTTTCTTAAGTGCTTGGCATCTACCATCTTGGCTCTATTTTAGCACTTCTGAAAAGCAGGCTCAGTGGCTCTGCGTTGACTTTAAGGCAGTTTTGATCTGTACTTACCTGTTAGTACTTTGTCGATTGTGTCCACAACAAATTTTGCATCCTCCATATTGAAGCACATTGGGGGCTTGAACTTAAGCACATTTCTTCCTGGCCCATCTGTACTCAGTAGAATATATTCTTCCTTAAGTCTGGAAACAACAATAACAAAGAATTACCTTTGCATATAGTTCAGGAAAACTTAAAGCATCAGCACACAGGCTGTCCAGACAATGCTTTTCTGCAATGACTGGCTTCTTTTTCTGCTAGTTAGCTGTATTTTAACAACTGTTGAGGAGCAAGGTTACTTTGTGTGCTTGCCTTGCACACTGAAAAACTACATGATTGTCCCTTATACCTTGTTATTAGATACTCTGCTTCTTCTGTGGCTGGGGTCCTTTCTGCTTGATCCTTGATTAAGTCCACTCCAATGAATAAGCCAGAACCCCTTTAAAAGAAATGAAAAATAGTCAGTCATCTGTGGCAGAAGGAGCTGCAAGTGAACTAAAAAATGGAGAAAGTTTTTTGTGAGACCAAACCTTCACTGCATGAGAATTATTGATGTTTGTTGTGTAGTGTTAGAAAAGGTATTGCTGTTCTGAAGAAACATAGTAATACAGTATAGACTTTTATCTGCCCAGAATGGCAGCACAGGACATCATGTTACACATTTTCTCCATCCAGCTCATTAATTCTGGGTTTTGTGCCCTTAAAGTAAGAGTTCAGATAGGAAAGTGAATTCCTTTAGCAACTAATAAATCAATAAAGCAGTACTGGCCTGGAGTGGCAAAGTATGAGACTTCTGATAAGCTCAAGTTTGTTTTAATCTAATGTATAGTAGGCTGTTTATTTTTGCTGAAAACACAGATTTGATTAATTTCTTAAAACCATTTCAATTGAGTTGTTTATGACTGACTGAAACCAAACAAAAAGCAGCTGAAAATATAAATAAGGCACTGATACCTGACATCACCAATGATGGGATGTTTGGTTTTCTGCTCTTTGAGTAGCTTCATCAAGAAGTTGCCTACTTCCATGGCATGAGCCTGAAGGTGTTCCTTCTCAATCACATCTAACACAGCTAATCCAATTGCGCATGAAACAGGGTTTCCTCCAAACTGAGTTCAGGAAGAAAACACACGTAGCCAGGGAAAGGGACGAAAGATGCAATCTTGTCACTGAAAGTGTAGCCTCAGTGATATAATGAGCATACTGCCATTTATATCAGATGGAGCCAGTAAATAGAAAGTTATATACCAAAAAGATACAAATAATATAAACAGTAACTGTGTGGGTGATAAAGATTAATAAAAATGCTGCATGATTACAGGAGTCTAATTATTAGAGAAGGAGAGTTTGGTCAACCTTCTACTTACTGTATTAAAATACTCTACTCCTGTGGCTGCAAATGCTTCTGCAATTTCTTTTGTTGTTGCTACACAGGCAATAGGGTGCCCATTTCCTATTGGTTTCCCCATAGTGACAATATCAGGTATAAAATCTTCTCCTTGAAGCTGGAATGCCCAAAAGTGCCTGCCAACCCTGCCAAAGCCAACTTGAATTTCATCAGCAATAAATACACCTCCTGCCTTGTGCACGTGCCTGTAACATAACAGATTTTGTTGTCTCTTAAGGGGAAACAGAATGTAATATTTACTGTTGAAGAACATAGAGAAAGCATTACTTTGCAGACTTCCAGGAAACAAACTTGTACAGGCCTATATTCTCTATCATGTGTTTAAAAGCAGGTCTTTGCCATACAAAGTTTACATTCTAACATGAAGGCATAGGCCACTTCCTGCCTATCAAGCTGCTACAGCAGGCAGAGAAATTCTCTGTCATCTATATTTAGCAAGTATGTTAAATTTAATAGTTAAGATAATAAATGACCACTTACTCTGCAACCTTCTGAAAATAGCCTGGTGGTGGAATGATTTGACCACCCACACTTGGCAGAGATTCAACAAAAAAAGCAGCAATCTGAAACATATGTAACATGTAATGTTTTGAACCCAGTATAGAAAGTTGTGGAAATTGCATTAACAATGAGCAAGCTTTTTGTCATTAGGTGGTTCTTGCACAATTACGTGATCTTTGCTTTTTGACAAGTCCATGCCACTTAGCTCAGTAATCCTGAACAGCATTAACAGTCAGCCAGCTATGCTTATTTAAGGCAAGACAAATGGGTAAGGAAATCACTTTCTACCTTTCTGCCTTTCTCCTGTGCTTGCTCAATAATAATTTTCACTTCGTTAGCATAGGCTGTTACTGAATCTTCGTGGTCTTCTCTGTAAAGTCCTCTGTATGTGTCTGGAACAGGAGCCTATGCAAAGGAACAGTATCCTATATTCAGTATATAGAAAACAAGACTTCATTAAATTGACAAGAAGTTGATAGTTACAGGCTGAAGTACGTACCACGTGGACCCATTCCTTTTGTCCTTCTAGATTTCTGAATTTATATGGGCTTATGTCAATCAACGATGTCAGATGTCCATGGTAGGCACTTAAAAAACAATTAGCAGAACTAAACAGTAATTTCTTCAGTATCAAGGGTTCTCTAGGATTAGCATTATCAATAGCTAAAGACTAGGTAGGCTCTGTCACCTGGTGGCAATACAGTCACACTTCAGCTCAGAAAAGCTCTGAGATGTCTGTCAATCAGCTTAGTAGTATCTGGATTTTTTTGCACACCTTGACTAAGGGCTGCAGAGGAACAGTACTCCTTGTCACTGGTTTGCCAGGGCCAGTGAGTAGAATCACAGCAGTGTAAGTCACGAGCAGTATTACAAGACTGCAGAACAATGGAAGGGACATGTCTGGCCCTACTTCTGAATATCCTCCAACAATGGAGTTCCCAGTCTCCCTGGGCATCCGTTTCTAATATTGACCACCTTTGTGGTTTAAAGAGTTTTTCCCCATGTCTCATCAGAATTCCTCAGGTTTCATCTTATGTCCATTGTTGTCTTTTCCTGTCACCATACATCTTCAGGCCTGGCTCCATCTTTTCTGCTCCTTCCCATTAGACAGTTATAGTTACAGTAAGATCTCCGTCTAGCTGTCTCTCTACAGCTGAACAATTCTCCTAACCTAGGCTCCCTACCCATTGTAGCAGGCCACTGCAGGCCACCTTCCAGTATGTTAACGTATGGCAGGTACTGGAGAGCCCATACTGGGGACACTTCTCTGGGCTGGTCTCACAAATACTGAACCAGAGGGAAAAAATTACTTCCCTCAACTTCCTGGTTACAGTCTTTCTACTGCAACAGGTTTGCAGAAACGCCCTGACCAAAAGATACTTGTACCCCACAGTAGATAAAACTGCCAACATACTTACTGGTCTAAAACTATAACATCTTCACATTTTGTATACTGGCGTGCCAATCGTAGGGCAAGATCGTTAGCTTCAGATCTACAATTGAAAAATTTGATCAGTGTTTCATTGTGGATGCCTGAGCTTTGAAATTCTGACCTCCCTTGCAATGCTTGTTCTGTCTGCAGAAAACAGACAGAAATCAATGTGTGTTACTCACAGATCCTTAGTAATCAGCACTCATTAAGGCAAGACTGTTCACCAGAACAGAATCCATCTTAAAAAGCTGAGTACAGAAAATAATTTAGAAACAGTTCTTTTTTTTTTTTAGCCTGTAGTTTGCCTGGGAACACAACCCGTGCCCCAAGCAGAAATATGCACTGTTGCATTTAATTTTGATGCATAGAAGTCATTTGCAGTTGAGAAGACAAGTCAGACCAGAAACTAATACAGTATTTACATTTATAAGGCCTTGAACTACAAAACATAAACAGAATAAAACCCTTCTTAAGTAAAATGCTAGTTTATTTTCCCAATAGCTTGCTAAATATGAACTTCAGAGTCACTGAAGTTCTCAGAAGGATCACAGTTTCTTCAACAACCCCAAACCATGTTTTTTATCAGTATCTTTAGTCATCCACACCAGGTCATGCAGTGGCTGTTGATAATGAAGTATGTGACTTGTCTGTATATGACTAGTGAAAACATAGTATCAATTCTAATTTACCTGACTTACCCAGAGTTCAAAAAGTAAAAGATGCATAACTTCTCAGGTAGCGTTTTTGAAAGTCTGTCTGCATAATCAACCAAGTTGTCATGAAGATAACGAGAATTTGTATTTAACAGTTGATTTTGTTCATGGGCCGCTTTTACTATATCGGGGTGACAATGTCCAACTGTAAGAGAGCGTAGAGGGGTTTGACAGTTCTTCTCTATTACCCGTGGCGTTCATTAACAAACACATACCGACTTAATGCTTCTGTTTCTCCATTAGTACAGAGAGATCATCACTAATGATCATATTTCATCAGTGGGGCATTAACGATACTGTCAGCAGAAGGCAATGTTGGTACACCTCAAAAGCTTTCACTTAATTTTTTTTTTCTCACCTGTTACTGTGTTTTATGGTTTGTAGTTGAGTACTGGAAATTGATATGCTAAAACAATTACTTTCTAAGCTGATATTTGGATTTAGACATTTGAATAATTTAGGTAGGGGTTTGGGTTAGTGCAGGTAAGCTTTACCACCAAAGAATTATTAACCCTGCTAGGGTGTTAGTGACAGCACTGACCAGTTAGGGAGATTTCAGATACTGTAAGAAACCAGCAGCTCCTTCATAATACAGCAGTAAGGCCCCACACTGAGCAGTGGTCCTGTGACCGTACCCTTAGCAGTAATTTTTACAAATAGAACTCTCAAGCTGTTTGTTAGTCTTACAGTTAAGTGCTTTACTTGACCTTTCATGGGGAAAAAAAAATGTGTAAGTTTTAGATAAGTATATTTCTAGGAAGACAGAACAGGAGGCAAGTCTGGAAAACACATTCATGCACACAGAAATTCAAATATGAATTGTAATTTCCCAAACTATAGGCTCAAGAGAGTTTTCTTACACTTTTCCAATTGAACAACCTTGCGCCAACACAGTGCAACAGTGGTAAAAATACTGATTGTTCCTTACCCTAGTTAGAAAAATACAGTATCAAACGACATGACTTTTAACTTACCGTGAGCAACGTTGTTTATGCAGTCAAGGTACCGTCTTCCATTCTCATCATACATATACTGGCCTTTTGCCTTTATGATCTTCACCGGATCATTAGAAAAAAACAGCTTGCAAGAGGAGCTATGGCAAACATGAGAAAGCAAACTAAATCATAGTGAATTCTAAAAATCACAGAGTTTATTCTGCTGGTAATATTTTTGGTTCAGTCAGTTAAGCAAGAGAAAGACATTTCCCCAGTTAGTCAGCACATGCTGACATCCTAATTCTGGCCTCTAAAACAAAGCTTGGGATGGGAAAGAGAACAGGCCTTGTGCTCTAACTCAATAGTCGAATTTTGTTAGATTTTCAGGGGGAAAAGATGCTCTAGAATTGAAAATCCTTCACTAGGAATCTAGCCACAGCACACAGGTCAGACTTACCTCCATAGTCCGATCCAGTCTTAACTACAGCTCCTTACTGGCTATGCCGTCAGCCCTTTGCGATCTTAAAACCCTCTTTGGTGTTTCTTACCTTATGCTCATTTTTACTATATTCTTGCATTTCTCGCTAAGATACTGATTTTCCAGATAGCATGGTGCGGGTGATGGTTATGTCCCTGTAGAGCTTCCCTAATCTTAGCTAAAACCTTGAGTGATTTTTTTTTTTTATAAGGCTAGATCTGCTTCAGTGTGTTTGGTTTGTTTCACTTTTAAAATAAATTGCTAAACAAAATTGAAACACACGTCTGCCTACGTAGGAGTTGCAGAAACTTGACTCTGAAGGGCAATGCCAAACTTTCATGCTTCATTTAGTAAAAGATTGCCTAGACAAAAATAAAATAATTTGACCATAAATACAAAGTCATTGTCAAATGAACAACAACAACAAAAAGTTACAATAAGAAACTGCTTCAGTGTCCCTCCCCTACAGGTGTCCTATACTTTGTGAGCTAGCAGTAGAATAGTAAAACTTTTTTTTTTTTTTGGTAAAGTTATCCTGACTGTTCAACACATGCTAAGAAAGCGCTTACAGAGGCTGGGTCTTTGTTCCCAGTGATGGAACAAATCCGTTACCAAAAGCTGAAGTACACCAAATGGTACTATTCTTCAGATTTGTGTTATGGCACAATTCTATTCCAGCATTTACTTTCAGCCCAACTTCTGGGTTCATAAAATATTTACAGATTAAAGTAGCCCTGAATTTGAATGTATGAGATGCAACATGAAAACATTCCCACAATTAAGCATATGGAGGGATTCTGCTGCCATTCCTGTAGCGGTCTACAGAACTAAGAATTTTTTAGGTCAATTGAAGCAATACAAGCAATCAGAAGTTTGGAACTGAGTCACGTGTTCCATTCTATCAAACTGGGCAGACATGCGTTGTTAATTCTATCAAGGTTTTGGTGTAATAAAAAGTTTTCTGAAAGCCAGAAGTACCACCAGGTGAGGCAGACCCTCCGTCTGGCCCAGCAGCGCTGGCAGTACGGGGGCCCAGCCATTCTGCCGCGCTGAGCTCAGCCCCACGCCCGATAGCACGGAGGGTTTAGTACTTCAGTTTCTTAACCCCCCTCCTTAAGAAACGCTAATTACTGTTAATTACACCAGTAAAATCTGACTTTGCACGCTAACAGCACCGACTTTCCCCACGATGTTGCTAGTTTAAACCTAAAATTCTGGCGAGGCAGGAGCTCCCCGGGAGCAGTCGCGGTGTCCGAGGGCC